CACAGATATATTACAGTTAAAAAACATGTTAGGATTACAATTTATTTGTATATTTGAAATAACACAATGTTATTTTAACAATTACACCTTCTTGAGCCTCAATTTAGCAATATTGTTTTTTAAATAAATTATTTAGAATTCTGTGCACCACAACAGTGCTTGTCCCCACAGTCATGTGTAAAAAACATTTTTCTGCAATTTTAACATTAAATGACATACAGAAAACAAATGCCAATTAAATATTATAAAATATATAATGAAAGTTGTGGTACTCGGGAGTCGTGTCACTGGTGTTACCGCATAACAAAAAATCTCTTATTTTGAGATAAAATCAGACTGATGACATCACTCGACTTCCTTTTACCGGTTATCTGAAGATCTATGAAAAAAAAGCACATGGTGAGTCCACTGAGTCTTTTCAGTTATCAGATATTTTCTCATTTAGCTCATGATTTCATGTGAAGCTTTTAGCGGAAGTCACTGGTGCGTCCAACTTTATTCTTAGACAATTGTGAAAAAATAGAATACAAATGGATTAAATTACATATTTTAGTGGATATTCCATGACTGACGTTGATGTTCTGTAGCAGCCAACTGTAAAATGCAGTTTTCATTAAAAATGTCACTGGTTTCTTATGTGTGACACCAATGAGGACTGGTAAAACCAGTGACACGTGACACCTATGGAGGAACAGAAAAGTGGACACTTCTGTAGAATGACCCCCTCTACCGCTCTGAGCTAAATATTATATTAAAATAGTAACATCGTTGGTGGTGTAGTAAACTGACATGCTGTTTAGCATAGTGTGGTTAGAGAAGCAGACGCAGACGCAGAACTCATCCATCCCGCAATTGAGGAAAGAAAGAGAGAAGGACAGAGAGAAAAAGAGAGAGAGAAAGATACACAATTACAAGGCTGGAACGCCACTTTATCAACGTCACAAACAGAATACATTTACAATTAGACTCGATCAGACGTCGGACAATGTAGCTTGACTCTAGACTGTCCAGTCCAAAACCGGACGCCTGGCAGACCTAAACGTGACTCATGTACTGTTATGTATCATGTTATGTATCATCAAGTTGTTGACAATGCCCAGCCCTAGCAACAACCAAGCTGACCGGATGGTTGGGTTCTAGCAACTTCTCTGCTTCTCAGCTCTGACGGCTTTAGCCCCAACTCCACTCTTACACACCTGGTCCAGCTAATCAAGCCTTTTAGCATCATCTACACACTGGAGCCAGGTACATCCAATTAGAGGAGAAGTGAAATTAGGGTGAAGTATAAGACAAGAGTCGACAAGAAAAGGTGACTCAAATTTTCATAAAAAATGATGAAAGTTCATTAAAGTTTAAAACTCTACATTACATATTAAGGAGAACTTACAAGTCTTATAATAAGGCAATAAGCTTAATAAACTGAATTTTGGACAATTTTGGGCCAAAAAGTAAGAGAAAAGGAGAGGAACAGTAGAATTACGACAGATGAGACAAAGCACAGGATGGAGCTTAGCCTAGTTGCTGCTCCAGCGCTGCCCCAGAGGCTGCACTGTGTATCTCTAAACAATGCTGCTGATTGTGCTGCCTCTGCTTAATACTGTCAAAGCCAGGAACACCCCAGCAGGGAGCAGAGTAAAAGTCACAATCCGCAAGCTTACTCGACCGGCAACACGCCAAGGCCGCACGCGCAAACAACCACGTGAGCCAGTTCTGAGGGATTTATTACTACAAAGAATATGTGTCGTTATTAGAAACTGAACATTTGCACGGTTTTGTCTGAAGAGCTTTTGAAGAATAGAAAGATCCCAAGTCTTGTTATTCTCTATTTATGGGAATCACCTGGTTGCCAGCAGCAGAGTGGACCACTGTTTGTCATATTTCTTCAGGTTTGTGTTGGCTATTATGATTTCTCCATATTCAGAGTGAAAAAAAAGAAAGAAGTATAAACCATTCACCATCACGGTCTTTCTTTTCAAAATCAACAGTATATGTGCTCTCTTTATTGCAATACTGGCCTCAAGCCTACCTCATGCACATCCAACCATTTGATGGCCAATAACAAGTCCTTCAATGAGGAGTCACTCTTTTTCAGCAAGTATACAGCACTGTAAACACAAATTTCACAAGATCTATAAATCAGCAAAGGCTGCCTAAGCATTATACCAAACTGTACCTTCCAAAAACAATTCAACAGGAACAGGCCCGGTCCAGTCATTTACTCTCATGCTGGGCCAAATTCAACTCATTCTCCATAATGACCACATCATTTAACCTCTAACCCTTAGTGTTGCCAGGATACGTAAAGAGCCCTCAAACCAATGCCGGACTTGGCAGCTCCGACTGTGCTTCCATTCACCCTTTTTCTATGTGTTCCCTGAAGCCGAAAACACTCCAACGCTCCTTTTCTCTGCTTAAGTAAACTGACTGTAGCCGTTCTCATGCAGACCTGCATATATTTGAGCTGGACTTGTACCCCTACACTTGCCAAATAATGAGCTACAATTCACCCGCCGCAGACACTGGCCATGAACGACAAGTCAGAAACAAATTTCTGGCCCTGACGTGCGGTCCGCCGGAGAGTGGAAACTACAGCGCTCCTCGGGCTGTAAGATTTAGTTTAACCCTTAGACATTGAGAGTTATTACTTTAATTTTGTTATGTGAATCAAATGGAACTAAGTAAATATATATTTCGTTATATAGTAAGTTACACTGACATCTGTTGCATTCTGTATCAGCAGTCCATGCTTCAGACTTTTTTTATGTTTGTTTCAAAATAAAAGACAATACAAAAAACAGCAAAATGTACAATACGGCCTCCTTTTCTTAAATCAAGACTTTGCACAACAGTATCCTTTCATCAAATTTAAATCATAATAAAACATCAGCTCTTTTACTTACATACACAAATGTCAGATGGATGGAAAGGTTCGAATCTTCAATTACAAGAAAATTTCTTCATTGGTTTCAAAGAGCTACAAGTGAGAAATAATGTATGTAATATATAAACTATATATTGGTGCAATATAAAATATTGCTTTTGTTATCACCAGCAATAACTGCAAATTCGAAGGCTTTAAGCTAAAGTCTAGCAAAGTCAGTTTTGATATCAGTACGTCTTGCTGTACCATAGAAACCAAACCAGACATTAAACTGTACTCAATACTGAAGCTGGCATTGATCCATTGCAGTGTACTGGTATCGGGCTGCTGACAGCAGAAAATTCTTGACTGGAAATCGGACAGGAAAAAAAAAAAGCATGGTTCCAGTCCAATCCTGCCACAAATCTAGCCTGAATCTAAATCTAGCTCATGTAGTGTTTGAGTAGTGGCAGCATGCTCGCCTCTCTTTAGATGCTTAAGTGATGTGCATCACTTAAAAATAGTTCATTTTAAAGATTATTAGTTTGAGTATCTGTAGATGTTCAAGGTTTGAATTTCATTATAGGAAAAAAAAGTGGTCTCGTGCCATCTCTACCTAATACCCATATTTCCCCAATCTTTTTAGGCAGAAAGGGAGAGGACATAATGAGGAGTTCTGCTGGTACAGGAACAAAAGAATTTAATTTTAGAGCACTGGTCTGGCTTGTGGGTAACATGGGTACATGGATCTGGGCTTTGTCTGTGGTGAGGGTTAAATTGAGGCTAACAGGTACTGGAGGTGGGTATTAAAATTCAAACAAGTTTGTTCTATGTTGGAGAACAGGCCACAGTCTTCTACAGAAAAATGCACACAAATGAAACTGAAAGGTGTGCAGTGCAGGTAGTGTGAAACAACTATCCTTATCCTGGTCCTCTGCTAACACTATAATGTTTACTAAAGTACAGCAGTTGAGCTGCAATAGCTTAGAGATTGATCCAGCGCAGTCTGTTCGGTAATGTGTCGGCCTCCATATGAAAAGACAATTCAACACTTGTTTACAAGCAAACCATGCAAATGTCATTGGCTGATTTGCATGGACAAGTTTTCATATTTTGTTCCTGTCACACGGTGCAGCATTTCTGAATTTAAATAGCCTCCAGCCTCCTACAATATCTCACCACCAGATGCTGGGACTGAAAGAGGGACAGGCCTAAAAATAGGTGACCCCTATCTCTGATGTGGTCATCAAAAGCGCCTCCGGGCTTTTAGCAGAATGCCACTACTTTACACCAATTAATTACTCTGATGGTAGGACCAAATATAGGAAAGCAATGTAGTGAGTGACTAAAATAGACACAGATAAGCTACACTATAAAATAAACTACAGAACATGCTTCCAGAGCAAAGTAGTGACCCAAGCTTGTCAATGACCCTATGTGTAATATAATGGCTTAGATCACCGATATAGCAGTGTGACAAGTTTATTTACTACTTAAATCAATACATACGGTAATTAGTGGTGCTTATTGCATATCTTGCAGACACATATGATCTTACAGATGTATATCACTGTTGTCGGAAGAAAACCTTGTTTCTCCAAAAGGTAACTTTACAGGAAAAGGAAAAAACCTACCTTACTTTTAATGCAAGTCAATGGAACCAGACTTTTTTCTAAGTAATTTTGGGCTGTTTCTTTTGGTCCATTCTTCAAAAAAGGGCAACATGTATTTCCAAATTATGTCAAAAACTGAAAAACGACAAAAATGGAGATACGAGGTTTTCTTCCAACAGCAGTGATATGTAGAAAAATAATATCTTGTCAGCTGTGATCCTTTCCATTAATGGATGTGGTACAGGGAGGAGGTAAACTGTGCAGCAATGGATGGGCTACAGTCGTTAATTGTACACTTAGGAAGTGTACTTGCTTAAGTGATGTGCTACTTTTTATAAGGTGTACTTTATAAAATGGCTAACGAATTTAGATACAAGGTAAATGTACTACTAAAGTGGGACTTCAGTGTTAGCAAAGAAAATTTCTTGTATGTTTGTACTTGCCAAATAAAAGGATGCAGAAAAGAGCACACTATGCACATTTCCACTATTTTGCTCAAGCAGTACCATCCAGATGAGCAGACCTACCTGCTGCCATGTATATCCGGGGTGAGTGGGAGACTGAGTGGGAGATAAAGGGTTTGGCATAGTGTTTGTGAAGCCGGTAGTCCTTCTCGCTGCGAGAGCGGGTACGTTCTGAGGCCCGGTCCGAGAAGTCCGAGCTGGGCCAGGCCCGGCGCAAAGTGGTACTGCGCGTTTTCTTCATGGCTGAGCCAGGACAGAGCGGTCGCCCGCCGCCCCACTGCCTGCCTCCCAAATGCTACACAATCACACTCCCCACATGGCCAGCCCGAACACGAGCGCCGTTTTATCTCTCTCCGCTTTTCTTTTCTTCTGGCTCTCTGATGGTCCCGCATGCAGGGATATTCACACAAGCAATCAGCTGAACAGCAGATGCTAGGCTGCCTCAGTATCCATCAAGAACAATGCACTTGTCCACGTTGCCTGGATCAGTTGCTTGGAGATGTGTCCAGATAAGCAATACGTGCAAGATCTGTAATCCAGGCTTACGAGTACACAGCTTCATGTGCACAGAGAGGCACGCACATACACATCTCCACACATTCAGACCTCTTCAGCATGTGGATAGGAGGAGAAGAGATACGTAGGAGGATCAGGCAGGACAGATGAAGGGACCACGGAGGGAGGGAAGGGAGGGAAGGGGTGGTCCTGCTTTAGTTTGGGGGGTGCTGGAGGTGCAGAAGGGGGGCCGCGAGGGGGTCTTGCAGCGTGAGAGAACCCAGCTTTCAAACAATAGCTCAATTCAGCGGAGCTACGCTCCACTAGCGCAGAGCAGCCAACACAAAGGACCCCCCAAAAAACAAATTAGTCTTAAAAAAAAAAGAAAAGCTGAGGTGCTACTAAGGAGGTCCACGCCAGTTGTTGTGTCTTCAGTCTCAAAGTTCCTTCAACCATGAACAAACGACATCAAGATCGGAGCTGAAAGATCCATGCTCGGATTTCCCGTCCAGCCAGGAATGCCACGGTCCTTGGGGAAAAATCCAAAAGCTACATTCACCTACCGCTGCAAGTTGTTCTGGATAGGAGGGTCCAATAAATACATGAAGAGTCAGCACAACATCTACCCAGCACGACTCAAACCCCCATCAAAGGCTGTATAATGAACTCTTCACCTTGACACCACACTGTTCGGATACATTACGTTCTTGCAGGCAAGATCTGGAACATCCCCAAAGTGGTCCAAAGCATTGGTGACAGGAAGATAAACACTGCTCCACGTGTGCAAATGTGTTTCTGAGTGCGCTCAGCTGGACAGGACTTAAGTCACAGCCAGACGAAAGCTCTTCCCTACTACTGCCCACATACAAACTTAGTCATCAGTTGTCTTCTCTTTCTCCAGGCTGAGTCGTCTGGTTGAACTCCCCATTCACGGTGCGCATTCTTTCCTGCTCCAAAAACACACAAGCATGCATACTCCCCCCCCGCCACTATTCGCTCTCACTCACTCTTTTTAATGTAAGAGCGTGTGGAAGCCAGAGATGCTTGCAGAAAAGCTGCGTGGTGGTGTCAGACTCGCCAATCCAGTCAGGTAAAGCTTCTGCACCTCCAGGGTCCTGCTCCTGGCTGGCTCACTGCCCAGCCAATAGCAGCTCAGCACATTATTTACACACATACGGCCTGCCAGTGTGCAGCTGCTGGCTGCTCTCTGTTCGCATGGAGAGCAGACAGCAAGAAAAAGAAAGAAAATCCCTTGTCGGATCTCTCAAAAGATGGAGCGGATGCCACTAAATTCCCTTTTTCTCCTTCTCTTTTGTTCTTTTCTGTAGCCTCCCTTCTTCCTTCCACTTCCTCCACAAGGGGTCATCCACAAGTTCACGATTCCCGCCAGTTCCCCACAGTCCGAGAGGAAGCTGCTGCACAGAAAGTTCCTCTGGAATGCAATTAAAGAGATCCGTCCAGAGAACGAGGATACAGGGCACGGGCAGCAGGCGAAATGCTGCTGTATGGAGCTTGATCGTGCTCTCTCTCTGCCCTCCCTCCGTGTCTCTCCTGACTGGAGTGCATTCGTGCAGCTGCTCGAGTCCTCACAGCCAATCACTCTCTGACAGCAGCCTATCGGCTTAGAGCAAGCATGAGAGAGAGAGAGAGAGAGAGAGAGAGAGGGAGAGAGAGGGAGAGAGGGGGAAGGGGAGCCACTACTCCAGCCACACACTCGAACACATGCTGAATTATTTACTCAGAACTACACTGGGAATACACTAAGACAGCAGAGTACAGTGGCAGAAAGAAAGCATCTTCACAACATACAGGTATCTATTTACTTTCTCGTAACCTGTACTTTACCAGGTACGTCTTTGAGATTCCTTGAAAAATCCCAATCAAAGAACAACTATTCCGGCTTAAGAGTTAAAACCTGCCGGTGTGAAGCATGTGTGGTCATTTGAAAATATCTCGAATGCTAAATGCGCCTTTTATAGGTGTATTTTTCATGAGGGCCATGTGTGAGGTTTCTCAAATGAATCGTGATATAAATTTGTGGTTTTTAGGTAACCCTACTGGACCCTAAACCTCTCCCTCGCTTTCTTCCTGCAGCTGGTCATTAATCATGGGGAGAACTCCCTCACTCCAGCTTTCTGAGTGAGCAGCATGAAACTAATGTTTTCCCAATAAGCCAAGGGTCAAAGGCCATCGGCCTATAATAAAGCACACCTCCTCCATCTTCTTCTATCAGGCTCAAACTTGTGGTCCCAGTTCAGCACAAATCCTTCAAACTCTTGAGAACTTCTTCACAGGAGAACAATGCACTACAGGCACCCACGGGGCAGATGGATTAGGCCCCAAGATGTCCGCCGAAATTCAAAGTGACACTTTAAAAGGCAACTTCCTCTGCAATTAACACCGGAGTTGTCTTTGCTGAAAGGCCGCACCTTGAAGACCGCAAGTGACGATGTCAAGAGCAGAAAACAAAACTAGCTGTTCTTTATTTTCACGTTGCCCGAGAACGGGTTCTGCGTCACGTGTTGAGGGAAGCGGAAGGTCGGGTTATGATGTTTAGCAGACTCTGGGTGTTGCATTACACAGCCTCGTAATGGAACAGCGCGCAGTCACGGACGGGAAAAACCTGCTGTAGGTCAACGTCACTCACCTTAAGCTTCCTTGGCACTACAGTGCTATAGAACAGTCTGCACTTCGCAGAGCTCTTGGGCGATGTGGCTTATCTCTTTCCATGAGGCTGGACTGTTCATGGAAAACAACGAGGATGGGAAATTTAAAGGAATAGGTTGGCGAAAAATCTCATTTACACCATTTCCTTTTCCCTTTCCTCAAATGTAGTCAATCATCCAAAAACATTTTGTGTTCGAAATTTGCCATTTTAATGTTTTGCACTGGAGCTAAAAGGTTAATGTAGCTAACATCTAAAACTTATACTCTACCAATTACTACTGCACAAACTGCATGCTGAAATCACATTTCTGACACTACCAGGCTTTGTGTGGCAGAGACGCCACTGAAGTTTAGTACTTACACTCCCAGTGAACACAGTGTAAAATAAAAAAAATGGCATAAATGCTAACTGTATATTAAACATCCAGCAAAGTTTGATTAAAAAAACAAACGGATTGAAATATGATACAAACACAGCTTAAAAATCACTTAGCAGACCCATCTGAGAACTGTCTGGATGTGGTCCTAATGCTCTGATGAGCGTGCATCATTGAAGGTAAGGTTCTTATTCATTTTACCGCTGGATTCACATCCAGGGAATGCTGGAGTGGCCAGTTGAACGAATAAACATATGAATGGACGGACGGACACCCAATAGGAAGACAGATTGACAGACAGCTTGCTAGCTCGTCGCTGTCCAAAGAAAAACAGGTATCTACAAAATAGTAACTTTACAGGAGACGGCAAAAACGTTCTTTACCTTCAATGTAAGGTAATGGAAAGATATTTTATTCTAAGCAATTTTGGAGCATTTCTATTGGTCCAATCATCATGAAATGTTTACACAATGTAAAGCAAAGCTGCCGAGCTCAAATGATGCAGAAAAGTAAAAATTGCAAAAAATGGAGATACATGTTTTTCATTGGACAGCGACGTTATGCTTGCTAGTTTAGCTTTCACTCGGTCATTAGCTTTGGGTCCATAGGTTTTATGACTCAAACATAGTGAGAAAACTGCTTATGTACACATGACCCAAGATTAGGACTGACCAGTTCATGACAAAAGAGGAACATTTTGGTAAAACACATCAGCCACTTATTATTCACAGGACATACTTTGTACAGGTTGTGCCCACATCCAACTTGGATTTAGGGGCTCTTACAACTCAACTCTGTTTGAGATAAGTGTATGACGATTTAGGCATGCAGGTTGTGCGATGCTAATTGGTGGGTTATAAGTTTCTATAACTTGTTAGCTACATTAGCCTTATAGCTCCAGTTTAAAAAACTGAAGAAGCAAACTTTTACAACACGTCTTGGCTGATTGACTATATATGGCGTAAGCGCTAATTTCCATGAATTTTAATCTTTGCCAAAACATTCCCTTAATATAATAATGAACTGGGACGGCTACTGAGCACAACTAACATTTGAATTCCATTTCAATCCTTGATTGTCCCCTGGCCATCTCGGTATGGTTACGGCTCTTGGTATGTCTATCATACTGTTATTCCTCTTCGTCCAATAAATGCTTTCCGCAGCTTGGAGACCGCCGTCTGCTAGACGGCTTTACTGGAACATCCCTGCATATCTCTACGGTCATTTCATGCCTTGCAACCTCTGAATGGTTCATATTCCTCAAGCTCCAGAGCCGTGCTTCTCTTTCCCTGGGCCTGGCCAGCGTGCGGCTCCCAGAGGCGCTACTCCTTGCGATTCTTTCCTGACCCTGTTGCAGAGCCTCCTCTCTGGGCCCGGGGTTAGCGTTTCCTGCCCCTGTTATGGCTCATGTTTCTACCCGTGTTATGTCAGGGCCGCCAGTGATGACAGGAATGCAGACGAGGGGCCGGGGAGCTCATGCTTCTCCTCCCAGAGAAAACTGACAGCATGAACCCCGACCGGGCGCTAGCCAAGCCGAGCAGAGACGGGGGCACTTCTCACCCAAGAACTTTATTGTTTCAAACATGGACAGGACTTGAGTAAGGGATAGCTTTAGCGCCAGGGTGGTTTTGGGGTTAAGGCTTGGATTAGACTCCGGTTACCCATTCATCTTGGAACGTTTCGAGTCTTCTTTGTCTTCAATTTCTAATTGCTTGTAACACCAGTATGCGAGGCACCAATGAATGGGCATCAGCCTTCATGTTCTGACGAAAGTGGGGGGGCTTTCATGAAACACAAGTCATATTTTTCTGTTGGTTTAGATAATTTGTATGGCTTTAAAAACTGAGACTAGACTCTCCCTAATAGTGACCTCAACCCCCTCCTCTACGCCTCGAATGCCCCCTCTACCCCAGACATGGTAACCCTTGCATGCTCTAGCCACCCTGAGGGTTTGGTTGCTCTGCTAGACTGAACTACACTTTTGCAGGCTGTTTTTTTTTTCTCTTTCAGTCAGGGAAACTCATAACATATACCCTGCGTAGACGCCAGACCTCCTCCAGGCTGTAAGAAAACGTGTTCTGAATTATCAACCCTCCCTCCCCTGCTTTCCCTCTCTCTCTTTCTCTCTCTCTCGCTCTCTCCTTTCGCTATCACCACAAGCCCTCAGTCCAACCCCCAGCATGCTGTACTTAAGACCATACTACTCTTAAATCCCCTACAACTCTATCCTGCTATATAGCTGTATGTGCCCGAAACTGCTTCAAACTATATAACAAACTGCCAGGCCTCCTATAAAAATGTCCCCAAAACCTGGAAAAAACCCAATCACACCTCATGTCACTAATTGAGCAGTTAGATGACCTCATATTCTCAGTGTTAGTGTAGGAATTAGCTTGTCAAGCCTGACAGAGAACAGGATTTCTTCTCCACTCTGTAGTAATGCCAGTCTAAAGTGGAACAGTGCAGAAATTAGTGTCTGGCATGCAGAGCTGTGAAGAACTGGTGGGAACGCCTTTGTCACTCTACTGTTGGCTGTGGTAGTTGGGTGTTAGCATGCAATAAAATCGTCATTATTAAATTAAAACTCAGAGTGAACATCTGAAGACTTCATGACTATACAATGCAGATAGTACTGGTGACGTCTATAAGTTGATTTTACGGTTTGACGAGAGAAATCTTGTTACCCTGATGACCTCCCACACTGCATGACTGAATCAACCAACGTGACATATTTCACAAAGCATGTCTGCTGAGCAACAACACAAAATCGATGACAGAAAAGACCCAGATAACTGACATAAGACTGTTGCGGGTGATGGTTCAGAGCCAGCTGGCCGTATACAGCACAGCTTTCCACACTAAACGCAGGAGGATTCAGAGCCACTTTTCAATTGCTATCGGGTTGTGAGACCCACCACTCACAGTATATGTCAATTTCAGGCAGGTCAGAAATTCACTGAAACAACCGCTGAAAGCATTTTTGGACATTTATTCCAATATTCTCCAATTTATATAAACTTTGAGAAACCTAGGATGCACTCTCTTAGCAAAAAAGGTTCCAGATATTACCAAAAAAGGGTGATTTGACTTGTAACAATAGAACGCTTTTTGGCAGTGTGTAGAACTATTTTTTAAAGCTTCTTTAAAGAGCCACAAAAAAAGGTTCTCAATCATGGAGAATTACAATGATTTTCCCAAATGTCCACATAGTTGAATTGTTTAGATGTAAATAAAGTCAGACAGGGTGGTTTAATGTGAATTTCCCAGTTCTAGAGAAACAGACATCAGATGTCTGAAGCCTTCAACGCCTCTAAAAGCTGCCTCACAGAAAATTACAACAGCAAAAAGTTATGAATACACTGTTTGATGCCTGAGACATTGTTTCATAATAGTTGTAAGATCCGATTATGCATATTTTTATATTCTGTTTATGGTGGAGTGGTACATGCATGGCGTCATAAGGCATAACATATAAAAACTCTTTGCTGGACATTTTGGATATTAAACAAAATGGCTATACTTGTGT